TGCAAACTGCAGACACACACCGGTGCAGACATGGGAGCCTGGAAGTACAAGGCAACAGTGTTACCCCCTCAGTCACCCAGCAATATAATTAATATTTAGCCACACATATCCAGAAGCAAAGGACTGTTTAAAACAGTGGTTCCCAAACTTTTTCCAGCTACGTACCCCTTGAGACATGTCAGCCTCAGCCGCGTACCCCCTGCTACCAACGACTCTTAATTAGTGTCTATAAATAGATTGCAATACCGCATGCATAAAAATAAATACTGAACAGTCGATTATTTCTCACCACCAAATGAATTTATTAATATATTTTAGTAATAGATTGTTGCTATCCGGTGGGAGAATTTCACAGTAGGGATGGGCACGGAAAAGGTTTTTGGTTCCCATCCCATTCGCGTTGGAGGGTTTCCGTTCCCATCCAATTTATCCGCCAAATTTTCAAAACCCATTCCCATCCCGTTCAGTCCCGTGGGATGTCATTCCCGTACCGTCCCATTCCCGTCAAATTTCCAAAAATCTTCTACCGCTCCCGTGTTTTTCATATATTTCCGTTAGCGCTTGTTTTCCGCGACCAGAGTGGCAGATATTTTTGACTAGGGTCCTGGGAAAGTTGCACCAGCATCATACTGGTGCATGCCATGGCAGAATTTCAGAATAGAAAAATACGCAGGACTTTTCAGTCCTGTCATTGTATTGTAATTCTGCTTTACTGCTAGTGTGTGTTCCTTTTGCTCAATAATTAAACCCCGCATTTCCCCGATCCTATGTCTTCTCGCCTCTGCTTCCCCGGTCAGCGTTGTGACAGTGAACCTACTTCCATGCTGCAATGTGAACATTTGCCATGTTCCTAAAAATTCTGTTTATTGCACAGTGTCTGACCACACAGACCTAGATCATACTGGACATATCAACTGGACATATTTTCCACTATTACAGATTGATGTCTTACTGCTCTTGCATATACTGATTTTATCGATTACTCAAGAACATACAATATAATTAATACCAATTGTTTTCACTGTTATTCACTGTAATTATTCCCATGGTTGTTCATATTCTCA